GCTGCCAGGACGGAGTGGGGCCAGGGGCCACATCCCCGGCATCCTGGCCGTGCCCTAGGTGCGGTGCCGGCGGGGGATGGCGAGGAGCCGGCGGAAGGCGGCGCGGAAGTCCCGGTTGAAGAGGGTGTAGATGAGGGGGTTGAGGCTGCTGTTGCAGTAGCCGATCCAGAAGAAGAAGCTGAAGAGTGGCTTGGAGACACGGCACCCTTCCCCACAGACCGCCCCCAGGCTGTAGGTGAAGAAGAAGGGGAACCAGCACAGCACAAAGGCCCCCATCACCACAGCCAGCACGACGGTGAAGCGCCGCTCCCGTGCCCGCACCAGCCGCTGACGGCACAGTGACACGCTCTGGTGCTGGCTCCGGTGCCGCCAGCCCAACATCCCGACCCCCGGCCCCTTCTTGCTGGTGCCAGTGGGGCGCGGGGCGCGGGCAGCGAGGAGGGTTGCCGTCCGCCGGGCAGTCAGGTGGTAGATGCGGCAGTAGACGGTGACCATGACGAGGCAAGGGGCGAAGAAGGAGGCGGCACAGGAGGCCAGCACATACCAGGTCTCCTGGCTCAGCTGGCACTCCCGCCCCCCTGGCTGGGCCCACAGGAGTGGTGGCAGTGCCACCAGTGCTGCCGCTGCCCAGACTGCCCCGATCATCCCCTTCACCCGCCTGGGGCTGCGGCGCAGGTTGAGCCGGGCCGCCCGTGTGACAGCCCAGTAGCGGTCGAGGCTGATGGCGCAGAGGTGCCCGATGGAGGCTGTGCAGAGCAGCACGTCCAGCGCTAGGTACAGGCTGCACCACAGGCCACCAAAATACCAGTAGCCCATCACCTCGTTGGCCAGTGAGAAGGGAAGGACGAGGATGGCCACCAGGATGTCTGCTGAGGCCAGGGACACCAGGAAGAGGTTCTGCGGAGCCCGCAGAGCCCGGCTAGTAGAGATGGCCGCCACCACCAGCGCATTGCCCACCAGTGTGGCCAACAGGACAGCCAGCGCAGCCAGCAAGATGAGCCCCGTGGCTGCAGGCGAGTGTGGGGCGCTGCCAGCACCGCTGTCGTTACCGGAGGTGTTGGGAAGGGCACTGGCTGGCTCCATGCTGGCCTGGCCCCTCAGGCAGATGAAGCCCCATGGGGCTGCCCCCCGCCGTGCGCCCCGCTCACCAGCCCCGCCGCATCTCATGGTGCAGTGCCGGCATCGCTGAGTCCCGGGAGGGACGTCCCAGCCACCACTGCTCCAGTACTGACGTGGTCCGGCGACAAGGTGGAGGTTGTCCTGGCCCGGTGGCCACCCAGCTACGCACACGGGGCAGCGGCTGTGCCGGGAGCCCCAGAGCGGCTCCCACGGCAGCCCCGCTGGCTCCGCTGGTCCCAGCCCGGGAGGAGGGCGGGCGGGAAGGAGGGAGGGAGGGACAGGCTGATATCGCTGGCAGGAGGCCAAGCATCTGTGGGCAGTGGGAGAAGCAGTTATTACCAACACTTAAAGGGCTCCTGCCAGGGTCACCGTGACAGGTGGGCTTCTGCCATGGGTGTTGGGGTACCTGGCAGGCTGCACACACTGTTTGACCATGTCCAGTCAACAACCTGCTGCCCTGTGCTGTGCCCGGCTCAGCAACACACTGCCGGGGCACAGAGTGGTGCAGCACAGAACCTGCAGGCTCAGCCCTCCAGGGATGAGGCAGGTGGAAGAAGATGCTGCCTGCGACACGTGGGTACAGGCTGGCTGCAAACTGCAGGTGTGGGGTTTAGCTGTAGCATTGTCAGCAAGTGCCCCCACAGCACTGGCAGCACGTTTGGTGCATCCCCAGCGCTGGGCATTCGTACAGGGCCAGGCTGTGCAGTGGTGCTGTATGGACACGGGGGTAGATGGTGGGTGTCTAGCACCTGTGGCTCCGGCTGCGGCTCTGGCGGGGTTTGCAGAGACAGGAGCAGAAGAGACACACACCCGGGGAGCGGGCGCTTGGCGTTTATTAGACACCGGCTGAGAGGGGATAGTGGAAACTGAGTGGCCACGGGAGCAGTGGCCTGGATGTGCGGTGCCGGCTAGAGCCGGGTGGCACTGTGCAGGGGTGGGCGAGGGGAGCCCACCCGGATGGCGGGGCTGGGCACCTCCTCGGAGTAGGAGAGCGCAGGGTTGTCCAGCCCCAGCCTGGCCTTGTCACGGGGAGGGCCCTCGCGTTCCTCCCAGCCCTCGGGACTGCGGCAGCGGTCGGTGCAGCAGAGGGTGGCCCGGGTGATGAGCTGGTCGAGGGGCTGCAGCGAGTGCATCCAGGCAGGGAGGAAGTCCCAGGTCTGCAGCCATTTGGGCAGGTGGCCAGGGCTGCGCGCCTGCAGCGCATTCACCAGCCCCACAAAGAAGAAGAGGCCAAGGAAGGGTGTGCCCACCCCCACCAGTGCCCGCCAGCCCGCCATGGAGATGCCAAAGATGAGGGAGGGCAGCAGGAGGAAGCAAACGATGAGGTACAGCACGGCAAACCAGCGGTACTTGGCTGTGCGCTCGCCCAGCGCCTTGGCCATGCGGATGGGCAGGCGGGTGAAGGGCAGCGGGTACCACAGCAGGATGCCGGAGATGTTGAAGAAGAAGTGGCAGAGGGCGATCTGCAGGGGTGGCATCCCGGTTGGGCCAGGCACGTGGGGCTTCCCCCAGTCCCCGCCTTGCCTGGTGCCCCCCACCAGTCCAGTCCTGGCCTCAGGCTGCCCGTACCTGGAAGGAGCTGGCCAGCTTGTCCCCTGGGCTGGCCAGGGCGGCCAGGATGGCGGTGGTGGTGGTGCCAATGTTGGAGCCCAGGGTCAGTGGGTAAGCACGCTCGATGCTGATCACCCCCAGGCCTGCAGGAGAGGCACCCGATCCCGTCCCGTCGCTCCTCACCAGCACCATCCCCACACTCTTCCAAGGAGGGATGGCTCCTTCCACCCCTCCAAACACCCTAGCACCCACGGGCCATGGTGGAGGGGACCAGCACATGGCAGGGGACCAGGCATGGCTGGGACTCACCGATCAGGGGTGTGATGGCCGAGGTGAACACAGAACTGCTCTGCACCACGAAGGTCATCCCAGCACCCACCACCATGGCAAAGTACCCGGTGAGCCAGCTGAGCGGGTGCGGGAGGTCTGCCACGGCATGGACACAAGTACAGACACAGGCATGGACACGGGCATGGACACATCAGCTGAGAGCAGCCCGGCGCCCCTACGTGGTGCTGGGGAGGGGGCTGTGGGGCCAGGCTGTGGGTATGGGGTCAGGCTGGGGCTATGGGGCCAGCCTGGTGGCTGGTGGCCATGATGGCTGAGGAAAGGGGATGTGGACACCAGGAGGCCATGACAGCAATAAACAGAGTGGGAATCAGGGGCAGGCGGGGGCATGGGAGTCAGGCAGGGATGGGGGTTAGGGACAGCCAGGGATGTGTCTGAGGACGGCAGGTGAGGATGAGGATGGGGCTGGGTGGCCGTGGGGCAGGAAGAGTCCCATCCCACCCACCCCACAGCAGTCCCTGTCCCACTCACCAGTGTTGATGACCTTCTGGATGGCTTTGGCCACCTGGCCCTTAAGCAGGGAGTTGAGGAGTTTGACCAGGAGGATGAGGCAGGTGCAGAGCACGATGAGGGACCCAGCCAGCAGCACCAGCCCCACGGCCAGGTCAGGCAGTGGTGTGTCGGTGAAGAGGTGCTCACCTGCCCCACAGCACGGCTGAGCAAGGGGCTGGGGCCAGCCCAGCCCCACTCACAAACCTGCCCCACTCCCCAACAGCCCCACATCTGGACCCCAGCCCAACATCTCCCAGCCCTGCCCCACATCATGTCTCCAGCCCCACGTCCAGCACCTCTCCATTCCACATACAGCCCCACAGCCCCACCTGCACCTCACCAGCCCCATGTCCCCCAGCCTTGCCCAAGCCCCCCAGCCTTGCCCAAGCCCCCCACACCCACTCACACTTCTGTCTGGTGACATTGTGGAGGCTCTCAATGCCCTTAGTGCTGCAGTGGCTGGGAACTGTGCAGTTCAGGGGGGACCCAAGTTCCACAGTGGCTGTCTGTAGGGAGAGGATGGGCTGCAGCCAGCTCCACAGCATCCTAAGCCAGCCCCTGCCCACCACACACACTCTGTGGGATTGTTTGGTGGCCCCAACAGGGCCATGGGGCCCTCACCTGTGGGGGTGCAGGGCCACACCAGACACGGATGAGGCTTCGGTTGCGCAGGCTCTCATCCCCCGTTGCAATGCCCGTGATTACTGACTTGTCCAGCTGCAACAGCACACACGTTGGAGAGGGCCATTGGGGGCTGACAGCACCCACAGCCTGGGGACAGCCTTCACTGGGATGGGGATACCACTGCCAGCCTGAGGATGCTTGGATACAACCACCATCAAAGGGACACCAGTGCTGGGGACATCACCATCAGCCCTGGGACAGCAGTGCTGGGCAACCACCACCAGCCTGGGGACACCACTGCCAGCCTAGAGACACTTGGGCATGACCACCATTAAAGGGACACCAGTGCTGGGGACATCACTACTAGCATGAGGGACACTAATGCTGGGGGACAACCACCACCAGCCTGGGGACACCACGCTGGGGGACACCACGGCTGAGGAGACCTGGATGATGAGCTTGGTGAAGGGCTCTGTGATGATCTTCAGCAGGTCGGGGGCATCCTTGCCGCTGCGGATGTTGAAGGTGGCCACAACCAGGCGGGTGACATGGTGCAGGTACCCACTCACCACCTCCAGAGGCAGCAGGACCAGCACTGACAGCCAGTTGAAACAGTCGTGCACTGTGGCACCAGCAAAGGCCCTGTGTGGAGGAGCCCATCGGCATGGGGTAGCCCCTGGGGAGCAGCTCCCAGCCCCCCAATTCCCTGCTGCCCTGACCAGCTCTCACCGTTTGAACTCACTGCGGTCGCCAGCCTGCATGAGGGCCACAATGGTGTTGGTGACAGAGGTGCCAATGTTGGAGCCCATGATGATGGGGATGGCAGAGCGCACCTCCAGCACTGGGGACAGAGAGATCTGCTAGCCCTGCATGGCTCAGCTCAGGGTGACTCCATCCAGCCACCTTGTCCCCCCAGCCTCAGGTCCCCAGGAGCCCCGCAGGCGCACTCACGCCCCGAGGAGACCATGCTGACGATGATGGAGGTGGAGGTGGAGGAGCTCTGCACCAACACAGTCACCAGGATGCCCACTACCAGCCCGGCTACGGGGTTGGAGAGGATGGCGTTGTCCTTGAAGATGTCTCCAGCCACCTTGCCTGCAAGAGAGTGCGAGCGGCAGGGTGCTGGCACAGTGGGTGCCACCAGCTGCCCAGGAGCCCCTGCCACCCTACCTCCGGCCAGCTGGAAGGCAGAGCTGAGCACATCCAGGGAGCACACAAAGAGATACAGGAACCCAAACATCAGGGGCACCTTGAGAAGGGAGACACAGATGGACTGGACCCTGGCCCAGCACCCCAGCTCTGCGCAAGACAAGAGAGAGTGTTAAATGCCGGCTGTGGCATGGCCCTGCTTGCCGGAACCCCGCAGCCCTGTGCCATCCTCCAGTGCAGGCTGGGGCTCTTGCCCCAGCGATGACACCACTCCCCGGGTCCCCTCCATCTCCTCCCACCCTGGATCAGCTTGTGCCAACCACCCCCTCACCCCTCGGCTCCACCCCCGGCACCCCGGGTTGCTGGGGTCTCCCCTGCTGGCAGGCAGCCTGCCATGCTGGGGATCTGGCTGAGGTGCCAGCACAAGGACTGGCACCATGGAGCAGTGGGGAGGAATTGCCACCAATCCCAGGGACAAAGTTGGGGCTCTCCTGGCACCCTGAGGCCTTCCTGAGTGCCTGTGACAGGTCTCTGGGGGTACTCCCCAACCTGGGTGCTGTGTGCCCACTGCCGGGGGTCTCACCTGGCTTCTGCAGCTCATCCAAGCCCAGCCGGGGTCCCTGCCAGGGCAGCACGTCCAGCTCGTACCGCTCCCTGCCCTCGGCCAGGCGCCCCGGGGAGCCGGGGCAGGGGAAGCCATGGTCAGGGCAAGGCACTGCACCGACGGCGAAGGGGCAGGTGTGGGCACCCGGCAGCCGGTGCAGAGCTGGGGAGAGGGGACACGCATGTTACGGCCCTGTCTCACAGGGACCCCCGCTGTGGCAGAGGAGAGCCAGGCACTGCCTGGGCCAGGGTCTGGCCAGGAGCAGAGCTGAGCCCGGCGGGGCGAGGAAGGGGAGGATGAGGAGGGCTGGGAGCACCTACCTTGGGGGCTGGGGCAGTAGGTGAATTGGGGCCCGTGCACCACCCTTCCTCCCCGCACCGGGCAGCGGGGCAGGGCCGGGCTCTCCCTCTGGTAGGGCAGCATTGCTCCCGCTGAGGCTGAGCAGAGGCGGCCGCGCGTCACCACGGTGGAGCCACGGCTGTGCCGTGCCGACAGCCACTGGCTCCCCAAATCCCTGCAGTGCTGTCACCACTGAGGAGCACCATTCCATCACCTGGTGGTCCTCTGGGCTACCAGCCACCGCCGTGCCACCCCAGTGGGCTCCTGCAAGGGCAGGCAGGGGACATGGGGAGGGGACCCCCCCCCCGACCAGGGCCCTGCTCACCTGGGGCTGTCCGGGCACTCAGGGCAGCGCCATGTCCACATGCCACATCCACGTGTCCCTCCAGCAAAGCGGCCTGTGGGGCACTGTGGCCCTTTATACACACGCCAAGAGCAAAGTCTAAGGAGCCCCACGTTGCCCCTCGCCTCTGCTTGCTGCTCACCTCCTCCCCAGAAATTCCTGCAGTTAATGGGTAACCCCGCGGCATCCCACGTCAGCTGCAGCCCCGGGGCAGGATGGGGCACACACCCCCGGGGTACATCACCACCAGCACACCCCGCCTCGCCTGCCCGAGGCTTGGCATCACCCCTGGGCCAGCGGTAGCCAGCGTGGTAGGGAGCAAAGCCAGGGCAGTGCTGGAGCCCAGTGCCTGAGGGGTGATGCGGGAGCAGCCTCAGCTCTCCATCACTTGGTGCCTGGTGCTTAATCCCCTGCAAGAGACTAGGAGGAGGACGAGAAGCAGGAGCAGGAACAGGAGCAGGGCAGGAGGAGCAGGAGGAGGTGGAGAGGGCTTGGTGCTGGTGCTGCCGGGGTGTCCCAAACTGGAGGTGAGGCCACGCACACATCCACCATCCTCGGAGCCATCTGAGCATCAGCCGTGGGGGACCTGGCTCTGCCCAGGGCACTTGCCATCCCCACTGCCAGGGTGTTGGCAGTGGGTTACGTCAGCGCCAGCGCAGTCCCTGTGTCCTATCGCTGACAGTGACGGTGGCACGTGGCCCGGCTCAGCCTGTGCCAGCGGCTCAACGTGGAGCAGCCGGCAGCACTGCGAGGGCTGCGTGGGGCAGAGCCTGCATCTTCCCAGCACGTGCGATGCTGGGGGGGCAGGAGCAGTGTGACAACAGTGTTGCCGTCACCACCTCCTCGATGCCATTTATCATTACCCGCTGTTTACCGGCCAAGTTTCCATCCACCCCCAAGGTGCCCGGCCAGCTTGTGTCCACATCTGCCCGGGGCAGTCAGGGGCCAAAGGCCCCTCCAGCCCCCGTGCCTGTGGGCAGTGGGCACAGAGGGGCCATGTGGCTGTCACATCCCTGTTCCTCCAGGATCGGGCACTCCCAGGACCCATTACCATGGACAAGCCAGCTGTAGTTGTATGGGGGGAGCAAGGGGAGATCTCTCAGGTAGCTCAGAGTGCTCGGGGAGAGCCTGGGGACATTCCTGCCACTGCTGGAGCAGCACGGAGCCTCCGCCAAGTCACAAACCAATGGAGCTGAATGTCTGGGAGGTGCCACAGCAGGGGACGTGTCCGAGCTCTGCAGGCCCTGGGGACCCTTCTGGCAGGGTGGTGCAGCCAGTGGCACCCACAGAGCCCTGTGCCAGGCTGTGGCAGGCAGGAGGCCGGTGTCCGCACTTGCCCCGTGCCTGGGGTCTCTTGGCCAGCTGCCCCCACAATCATTAACCCAGTGAGGCCCTGGCAGCTCTGGCTGTCACTCATTGACAGGGTTGGGGCTGAAGTCCTTGGCCATGCCGGCCCCGCAGCTTCCCCTACATCATCAGTGGTGCCAGGAAAACAAGCTCCTGGCACTGCCCCTTGCTGCTGGGCAGGGTGGCACTGGAGCCAAGGGCTGGGTGAGCCCTGCCCAGACCCCGGTGGGGGCTCTGTGGGGTATGAGGGGGCTGGGGAGGCATCACTGCTGGGAAAATCATTGTTTGGCCTCAGCAGAGGAGGAAGGAGAGGGAGACGTGTCCAGGCAATGCTCTTTATTTCCCCAGGTTTCACACCACAGACGGGACTGAGCAGCACCACGGAGACACAGTGAGGCTCTGACCAGGGCCATGGGGCTGCAGCTGGCCATGGCAGTGTGGGGCTGGGTGGCCATGCCCCCCATACCTGTGTGAGCCTCGGGGCTGCCCTGGGCCACCCCTCTGCCTCTGTCTGGGCAGTGGTGACACAGCAGTGACCCAGGGCACAGTCAGGAAGGGCCCCAGCATGCACAGACAATGGAGGGATGTTCTGGCTGCTGTCAGGGGGCTGTCTTCATCGCAGACTCGGTCTGGGACCTCTGGGGACACCAGGCTGATGGGGATGGGGACCCAACAGGGCACAGCCAGGTCTGGCAGAGCCAGGCTTAAGGTTACAGCCCAGAACAGCTACTGGCAGGGATGCCAGGCTGAGCACATGCTGGGTACCCACACACCAGGCTGAGATGCCCAGCACCCAGGGGTGCTGCATACCTCTGACACCCCCCAGGCCTGTCCCCAAGGGCTGAGCACCCGCAGCCCCAGGTGGGCTGGGGCAGGGGACCTACAGGGATCTGTTCCTGCAGGTTGCTTCAGCAGCTGCCCATGCAGGGTCTCCCTGTGGGGAGGAGAAAGGCTTCTTTGGCATGACCTGCTGGCTCTGCCTCCATCTGCTTGGGGCAGGAACCAGGTGCCCTGCTCTGCAACGGCAGTGCTATCATGGCAGGATCAGGCCCAACCACACACATGCAACGCAGGCAGTAACAACCTGTCTGGGGCACAGGCCCTCCTCAGGAAGGGCAGACCCACACATCAACAATGGGGGAAGCCCTGTTCCTGGGGGGCCAGGGACCAGATTCGTCTCTCAGCTCCAGCCATGTGTTCTCCTGACTCTGCCTGCCCACACCACTGGGGTCTGAGGCTGGTGCCTGTCTTGCCACCCACCCACCCTCTCTATCCTACATGCCTTTTGGTTGGAAGGGTGATTTTCCCAGGTCAGTGGGGCTGTGCCAGCCCAGCACAGGCAGGATTTGCTGGGCAGGCAGCTCTGCCACAGGCAGAGCAGGCAGAGGCACTGGGTAGGACAGTGCCAGGCATGTGTGGGACGTTGCAAAGTGCTTCACAACAGGGGTTCAAACTACGTACAGGACTCCCTTGACATGCACCAGGATGCGATCCCACCGTGGGGCATGGCAGCTGCTCAATCACTCACAGTGACACGACACGACAGTTTGGGACAGGACGTGGATGAATCTGCGGTCCAGGCAGTGTCGGCGGTGCAGGGCAGGGGCCGTCGAGCCCCGTGTTGAACCCCAGCATGGCCCAGGGTGGCAACACGTGCCGGGTGTGTATGTGCAGCAGGACTCATCGGAGCTCGTGGTCGACCGGAGGCTGAGCTGGCGTGGGCTCTGTGGGCGGTGGGTGGCTGTTTCCCTCGGAGCCTGGGTGAGGGGCATCGGGCTGATCTGACCCCTCGCAGGTGCTGTTGTCCTGCTCGGGGAGCTGGAGGAAGTCAGGCAGGACCAGGTCCTCCTTGGAGAGCAGCCCACGCTGGTCGTTGGCCCTGCAGCTCTGGGCACGGTTCAGCAGCTCCACCAGCCCTGGGGGAAATGCAGGTCATGCACCCGAGCCCAGCAGTTGGGCTCCTGTCCTAATGCCTCGGCTGCCCTCTCCACCTGACGTGACCCTGAACATGTCCCAGACACAGTGCCTGCAGCTTCTCCCTGCTCCATGCCAGCACCTGTGAGATTATGCACCCATCCCTAGTGCATCGTGGGACCCCAAGTCCCCCATTGCCCATCCCCAGCTTCATGGGACCCTGCACCCATCCCCAGCAGACCAGGGGCCCTGCGTCCCTCACCCTGTGTTTTGCTGTTTTGCCCCAGACCCTCAGGTTTCAGACACACCAGGTCTCACCTTCCAGGTCGTACGTGCGGCGGTTCAGGTTTGTGGCAGCTGAGGACTGGGGCCGGGAGAAGGAAGAAGGCATCTCCCACAGTGTGTCTGGCTCTGCTCCTGTTGGGCTTCCCTCCTGTGATGAGCAGCCCAGGCCTCAGCAACAGGGCAAGGAGGCAGCGCTCCCTCAGCCCACATCCCCATCACCCTCTCACAGCCTGGCTCCTGCCTCAGCACCCACTGCCCAGCCCCACAGCGTGTGCAGGGGTCGCAGCGGGGCACCCCTTCCCCATGGACCACAGCAGCAGCCATGAGGGAATCTCTGACTGGGGCGGTGGGATCTTGAGCTCACCTCGCTCCGGAGCGGGGAGGGGGCAGCCGCAGCCTCGGCACTCTCCATCACTCGCATGTCTGCAAGGTAAGTGTTGCTCAGCACCTTCTGCCAGTGCCCTGGTCCTGGCCCGGCTGCTGACAGGATGGAGCCCATCCCAGGGAGCAGGAGCCATGGCCAGTAGGAAGCTCTGTGGGTGCTCTGTGGGAGCAGTGGCTTGGTAGGGGGACACGGCTTGTTGGGGGAGGACACTTTACCTGCCAGCGTTTCCAGGACGAGTTTTTGAGCAGCCACTGTGCTGACCAGCTTCTCCAGGTCCAGCGCAGCTAGCTCACCTTGCTGCAACAGGAAGAGCCAGCCAGTGTCACGCTCACTGCAGCATGGCAAAGGCAGCCTGGCTGAGGATCTATGACCTCCCCAGCCAGACCCTGCCAGGTCATGGGCTGCACAGCACAGAGAACACCCACCAGTTCCCTCAAGCCCACAGTGAGTTGACACAGCCCATCTCAAACACGGGTGACTCTCCACGAGCCCACAGGCTGCCCCTGGCACAGACCGCTGCTCCCCACCGTCAGCAGCCCCTGATCCAACTCCCAGACCCCACCAAGGTGCGAGCCCTCACCCGCCGCAGCAGCACCAGCTCCATCCTCACACCGTACTTCCCCAGCACGGGCTGCAGTGCTTCCCGGATGCGCTTGGTTGACTTTGCTGTGATGCGGATGGTCTTGTTGAGGGAGGAGATTTCCAGGCTGCGGAGGGGGAGAAGAGGCTGTCTGCAGGCATGCAGACAGGCAGGACAGGCAGGGGCAGAGCCAGGGCATTGGGGACTGCCTGGGGGGTTGGATGTGGGGCACCGTGGGTGGCCACACATGATGGGGACCAGATATGTGTGGGTAACAGCATCAGCCCTGAAGCTCCCACTCACTCAAAGCTTATCCTGTTCTCCAGCTTCACCTCCTGGTCTGCCAACACAGAGCACTCCTGGTCCAGCACCAGTGCTTTCTGCAAGAGCCAAACCATCAGGAGGGAGAAAGCAGAGCGGCACATGGTCCCAGCCTGGGGACAATCCCACTGGCAGGACCCCCTTCTCCCCTCTGCCCACCCTACCTGCTCATTTCCCACCAGGTAGACCTTGATGTCGGGGAGGCTGAAGCCACGCTTCTCGCATATCCCCGCCAGCATGTCACGGATGGAGTGGCCGGGCCGGACGGAGGCCAGCGAGGCCGTGCCATCGGGCAGGTACACACAGCAGTACTTCATGGACTTAGACGGCAGCTCTGCTTCACTGCCCCCCAGGCTCTTCCGATGGCCCTGCGGGAGGGTGTGACGGGATGAGCCCAGCCGGTGGCAGCGTGATGCTGTGGGTCCTGTGCGGCAACTACTCACCTCGGTCCAGGGGCTGGCGGCTGTGTTGGCAGAGGACAGGAAGCCCAGGTCCAGGCTGGCTGAGGAGTTGAGTGAGCCTTGGGACTCCCGCCATAGCATGGCACTCCCACCGCCTTCTCCCCCCTCTAGGACAGACAGAGGGACAGTGGTGGGGACCACAGGAACCCTTCGGGGGTGGCATGGCCCCTCTGCCCCACTCAGTACAGCACCTACCTGCCCAGGAGGGCTCCCGCCGCTCTCCCTTCCTGAAGGACCGGCGGGGGCTGCGGTTGGAACCACTGCCTGCTGTCTCCACGCCCAGTGGCAGGGACTTACCCAGCTTCAGCTTCGACTTCTGGGGTGAACAGAGAAACATCTCAGCATGGGGACATCTGATGCTGCCCCCTCCCTTTCCTCAATCCACCGACTGCTCCTCTGTCCTCATCCTGGGGCTGGGTTTGCTCCAAGCCACAGGGAAGGGACCCAGGACAGTTTCCTCAGGTGAAGGGACAAGTCTCTGTGCCCCCCTTCCCACCCTGTTCACCTTGCTGAGGTCAGGTGGGGGGCTGCTGCTGCGGGAGTGGGGCCGCAGGTCAGGCAGGGGCTGCCCCTGGCTCTCTGCCCGCAGGCAGGCCTGGTAAAGTGGAGACTTCACAAAGCGCGTGTAGCTGTCAAACTTCATCAGGTTAAAGATCTGCAAAGGGAGGATGTGTCTGCTTAAGACCCCTGCCCACCCACAGCTCTCTCCAGCCCCGTGGCACGGCCCCGGCAACAGCAGCATTGCTGGGTGAGGCGTGGGGTGGTCCCACAGCCCACAACTTGCGGGTGAGGTGGAGCATGGGTGCTGCTCGTACCTGGAGCTGCTGGACACGAAACATGTCTGGGGAGGGGCTGGCCAGCATGTCCTCCCCAATCCAGGCCTGCTTGTCAATGTTCACGGGACTGACTGAGTGGCTGGAGAGAAACTCATCATAGATCCGCCGTGCCTCCTGGGCCAGCTGGGGAAACAGGGGGGTCAGGCTGAGAACAGGAGCCCCCTCCTCACTGTTACCCTGTAGGGAGCCCCTGGCTCATCCCCCAGAGCTATCTGAGGGGCCAAGTTCCCCGTGCAACCAGCTCGGTACGGGGGCTTCAGGATGGGCATCAGAGCCAGCCGCCCCCACCCCGCACTAAGCTCTGGGCACAACATGCTGGTATCTCCATGAAGGTACAGCCCAAGGTAGCAACTGTCCCCTCCAGCCACGTAGCTCTCTCTCCATGTTCCCCAGTCTAGATCTCTGCCTGTGACTCTTTTGTCCTCCCAGCAGCACTCTCCACCTTCTGGTCAGGCTGGGCTGGAGAAGCCGCCCTGCTCCTGGGTCCCCAGTGTGGCTTTTCAGATGCAAATCCATCCAACTCCTTACTCCTCTGGCAAGAGCCCCCAGCCTGCTCAGCCGCCCAGAACAGGGGTCTGCCGGGATGCTGGGACATGCAGGCACCAGCAGCTGTGTGACCCAGGCTCAGCCACACTGTGGCTGCATAGAGGCCGGTACCTGCTGCATGTCGCTGGCTGGGATCTGCTGGAAGCGCTCGCATGCCTGCCAGAAGTAGACATTTTCAGCACTGAACTCCTTCTTGAGGAACTCCTGCAGAGGGGGGCAGAGAGAGGGTCTGGCCTGGCCGGCACTGCGGCTGTGGGACAGCCGGTGGCCAGCAGCGGACAGGAGCAGGGACCGAGTTTGGGGCTGTGGTACTCACAGTGAAGTAGGTGACAGCCACGCGGTCCTGCAGCAGCGTCTCGAAGGATTCGGCCCAGCTCACCACAGAGCCCTGTGCAGAGCCACAGGTGGCTGGTGGTCCTGGCAGGCTGTTTACACTGTGGCTGCTGCCATGGGCCCTGGAGGCATTTAACTCTGAGAGAAAAAGGGTCAGTTCTCACTGCCTGACTGTCTCCCAGTGTCACTCCCCGTCACCAGCACCCCTCTGTATCTGCAGTGAGTTCATCCACCCCATCCCGACTGGAGCCGTTGAGCCCTCAGGTAGGGAACGTGAGGAGCATCACAGTGACATTCTCAGTGGATTGAGTGCCATGATGCCACAGCTGGCACTTTACAGCATGACAGCTCTCCCTGCCAGCACTGGCCATCCTCCCCTCCACTGGCCATCCTCCCCTCCCCAGGGTGTCACTGTGACTCCACATGTGACTCATCTCCCAGGGGAACAAAGCACATGCATAGGAAAAGCACACAGCTGGGGAGGGAAAGCAGGTGGAAGGGGACACGGTGGGGCACACCGCATGGAGGGAAGCTTAGAGGATGGGTAGAGGTGCTTGATCTTACTTTCTCCATTCCTCCAGCCACAACAAAGAACAAATCCAGTGAGAGGAGGGCACAGAAAGTGTCATCCCTGGCTCACAACCCTGGGGAAACCCTCCCTTGGGGAAAGGGAAGGTGGTCATGCATTCAAATGGAGTCTCTCCATCAAAAAGATGGAAGTTCCCAGGGGCAACCCCAGCTTTTGAACTGGTTTGGCAGGTGCGCACCAGAGGGTCATTTGCAAGAGAAGGTAAGGGTATGGAAACAGGGCTCTTCTGGTAAAGCCAGCAGGAGCAGAGGAGATGGCAAGCTGCTGCTTTGCCAGGCTCCCCACCCTTCTCCTCCTGTCCAAAACACGACATAACTGCGCACACCCTGTGCATGCAGGTGGGAGCATCAGCCACCGGCACCCCATGCGAGAAGGATCCTGCAGCGGGGCTGAGATGGGCGGATGTGCCATTTGAGATATCTGACATGAAATGAGACAGGTGGGCACACAGACAGTCTCCCTCAGGGAGCCTGGGGCTAGCTGGTACCCAGGTTCTGCTTACCCTGGGAAGCCCCTCAGCCACCAGCACCCAAGGGTGCCAGCTGAGCAGCCAGAAGGGAGGGACAGGCACAACAGGGCTGTGCAGGAAGGATGGGGGGCTACAGCAAGTCCCTGGCAGAGGGCTCAGCCAGCACTACGGGGGCCCGGCCATGCACCCGCCCACGGCACAGCCTGCGCTGACACAGGACCTGGCTCTCTGCTGTCTCCGTGCCCCTGGTGCCAGGCTGGATGTGAGTTTCCCCCTCCCCTGAAGATGATGCTGGCCTCCCGTCCCAGAGCAAAGAGCAGCCTTACCTCCATCTGACACAGCCGGGCCCTGCGGGGGTGGAGAGAAGAGACGTGAGAGGGGTGACACGACGGCTGCCAGCCCGGTGGAGCGGTACTGGAGCAGGCAGCAACATCAGGGCAAGCCCAGTCGGAACCCAGGAGCAAAGGACACGGGCTGCCGGCAAACACTGCTCTGGTGTTTGCTGCAACTGGGATGGCTGCCCCATGGCAAAGGCAAAACATGGGGCTCCCAACTCGGGGGCAGTGAGTAGGGGTTGGTGCTTGCAAGGGGTGGGCAACTTTTCTCCCACATCCTGTGCTTCTACTGCCTTGGGGCAAGGCCAGCAATTGGGAAAGGGCAGATGCTATCAGATGTAACCCTGCCACCACTGCCCCGGGGAGTAGAGAAGCAGCCTCCTCGGCACAGGAAGAGGAGGGGAGGAGGGGAGGGAAGGAAGGACAACCACAGCCCCAGGCAGGCAAACTGCCTGCTCCCTCCTTCCTTGGGGCCTGGGGCTACTGAGGGCAGATGCCCCAAAACGGGGACAGAGTGCCGTCCCAGATACCAGCCACGGGGATGCGGTACCCCAGGACCCACAGCAAGCAGGGAGATGGGCAGAGCCTCTGTAGTCAGAGCCCAGCCAAGCACACCCTGCACAGCACTGCCTCTCATCACCTGCCTGGGGCCACATTGAAGTGGTGCCCTCGACCTGGCTGGCCAGTGCCCCCCACCCACACACACCCCAGCCTGTCCCACACACCCTCTGCCTGCTCCCAGCCCAGCCCCACACACCCCAGCCCCCATATCCCACCCCCGCCTGTCCCTGCTATACCACACCACATGCTGCTGCCATGCCCCTTACGCCAGCCCCACACATCCCAGCCCTGCCTGCCACTAGCCCAGCCCCATATACCCCTATCTTGCCAGCTCCTTGCTCTTCCTCATCCATCCCTGCTGCCCACACCCACACAGCTCTGACCTGCCTGTGCCACCCAGCACCTTC